GGGTTTGAGGGTAAGCTCCTGGAAGGGGCTCTGGTGTCTGCGTTCTCCAGAGCACCTGGCACAGGACTCGTGCTCTTTTCCATCCTGGGAACAGGACAGACTGGCTTGAAGGCTCTGGTCTTTCTCTGGCATGGCTCTCGCACTCTTTGCCTTCTGGCGCCTGAGCACCAGGAATCTTCTCACACTTCCTGTGTTATAGGAAAGGCCTGTGAAGTTGGACCCCGTCTTAGCCCGTCTGCTCCCTGTCTACTACTGAGCAGAAAGGGCTGCAGAGGTGACTAAGGTAGGCCAGGTTCCCTGCTGCCCGGGATTCCAGGGCTCACTAGTATATAGTCCCAAGCTTGTGTACAAGACAGATTGAAAAGACAAAGGGAGAGGAGGAACGAGGCAGTTCTTTGGCTAGGCCTCAAGTGTTGTGATGTGTCCTGGGTGGCCCTGCCACATGATATGTGCTGTATAGAAACAGATGTACTCTGCCACCCTGTGGGCCACACAAGGACCACCTTCTGTCTGCTTGGTGACCCCAGCTGCACTGGGGGAGTTGTTTTGTGGGGCCTTGGTGGGCTGCGCCATGTGTTTGCTGAGCTGCTTGTTCCCAGCCCTCTGTGACTGTATCTTGGACTGTCATCTTGGTCTGCCATCTTCCTGTCCAGCAGATAGCCTTTAGGGTCTGGGGACGGACTTCTGGGGCAGCAGTATGGAGTAGAAAGGTGGTCCTCCTGGGAGAGGAGGCCTCTGTCCCCTAGGACAGCAAACTGTTCAGTGAATGATGTCCAAAGGTTGTGCCACCCCCACATAGCCTCATGATAGACTGGTGTCCTTGATTTCTGTGTAGGCACTTTCCCATATATGATCCTTCCTATGTCCCCAAAGCAGCAAAGCTGGGCTCTGGACCTAGTCATGCCGCTGGAGGCCAGGACTAGCACTTCCTCCCCTCAGCAGCCTCCTCATTCTAGAACGGGGATGGCTGCGTGAGTATTTGGCTCCAGGGGCCCCTGGCAGAGTGGATTCCAGGTGCCAGTGACTGCCTAGTGATTGCAGGCAACCGCAGCATTTCCCGGCCAGCTGACAGGTGTTAGGTGTTGGCCTGCTCTGCTGGTCTAGCTGGCACCATGTTGTCACACCTTGTCCATTCTTCAAGAGCCATGGCAGCTCTAGGCGCTGTGATGGGAAGCATCCAGGACAGCCTCTGCAGCCTGCTCTGTGTGTGAGCCTCCATCTTACTATTTGTTTCTTGACTTTGCTTTTTTATCTCACGCCTAGTCCTCTTAATTTTTTTTTTTCTTTTAATCATTCCATCTCCTTCCTTTGTCAATGACATGCTCTTTTCCCTTTCTTGGCAGAGGGCTAACATGACACTAACTCACTGAATCCAGTTAGAAGTAGTAGTACCAGTTTCGTGCAGTGCAAGAGCATTGCACACTTTAATGCCATTAGCCGCTCTTTCTGCATTTTGTGCTGGTGTTGCTGTCCTTTAAGTCCTACAAGTCAGTGTTCCTGTTTGGGGCAGCCTGTTTTCGTGCAGGTTTACCTGCATGTTTGCCCTCTCAGGCTGTATTCATTCCTTCATGCAGGTCCCTGCTCCTACTGGAGACCATTCTCCTTCAGGCTAGAGCACTCCCTAGGTTTATCTTAAGGAACAGATCCACTGAGGACAGAATCTCCTTGCTTTTCTTTATCTGCGAGAGAGTTTTTCTTTTGAAGGCTTTTTAACCACCTTTGGAATTGTGGCATTTTGTTTGCTTTCACGCTGAGGACCGTCCCATTGTCTTATGCTTTCCATCATTTCAGTTCAGAAGTCAGCTGTAAGGTTCAGTTTCATCTGTGAAGGCCAGAATTTCCCCGTGGTTGGCTTTTGGTATTTTGACAATGATTTGCCTACATATGCTTTTCTTTGGGGTCTATATTACTGCTTTATCCTATGGCTTGATTATTCTCTTATAAATTCTGTGTAATTCTTTAATTAATTCTCTAAAAATTTTCAATCATTCTCTTTTTTAAAAAAAAAAAAGATTGATTTATTTATTTGAAAGAGTTACACAGAGAGAGAAGGAGAGGCAGAGAGAGAGAGAGAGAGAGAGAGAGAGAGAGAGAGAGAGGCCTTCCATCCGCTGGTTCACTCCCCAATGGCCAGAGCTGAGCTGAGCCGATCCGAAGCCAGGATCCAGGAGCTGCTTCCGAGTCTCCCATGTGGGTGTGGGGACCCAAGGGCTTGGGCCATCTTCCAATGCTTTCCCAGGCCAGAGCAGAGAGCTGGATTGGAAGTGGAGCAGCCAGGACGTGAAGCAGCGCTCATATGGGATGCTGGCATTGCAGGCAGCAGCTTTACCCACTGTGCCACAGTGCCAGCCCCTGTGTGTTAGATCTTATCACCGTTTCCTGTACATCTGTTTTTTCTTTACTTGCCAACTTCACAGCTCTATACGTCCGTGTGTGTGTGTGTGTGTGTAATTTTTTATATATTGTTTGTAATGGTAGTTATATGTTTCAATTGTAAAATTTTCATTTGATTTTTATAGCTTTTTGTTTGCTAAAACTTCTCTTCCTGTGGTCTGCTGTCCTAGACTTTCACTAAGGGCTGTGGCTTTAAATTTCATTTCTCACTCCAGTGTCTGCATCTTCTGTGTCTCTTTTTTCTTTTGGTTTTGAGTCCTGGATGTTGTACATGAAACTTTCTAGAGATAATTTGGGACTCTAGGTATTTTATTTATTTTCCTCAAGAAAGACTTCCTGTGGGCAGTTAGGCCAGGGCTGCCCAGACCACTGTTAGGGCTGATGAGGAGGCATACACCCCAGCACAAAAGGGCCAGCCAGTCTCAGTCCTTGAGAAAAAGGGGTTCACCTTTGCCCTTAGGATGGATGTCACGGGCAGGGTCACAACAAAGCTGGGGGTGGGGTTGCAGGGTCCTGCTCTTTGCCTGCAATGAACGTAACTCCTCTCTCTCCAGCCCCATGGAAGTGCAGGAAGCTCTGCCTGGTCTCTGCTTAGGAGTAAGGAGTGCTGTAAGGGAGGAGTGGTGCTGATGCCAGGCACTCATTGTCACCCTGCCACACATGGTCACACTCGCCTTATCTCCGCCACTGCAGCCCCTCAGATCCTTGTGGTCTTGGTGCTTCTCCAAGGAAAACAGATTTTTTAAAATATGTCTCTTGTTAGTTTGTTGTTGCTTGGTAAAGGCCAGGCCCAAACCCCAGCAGAACCCAGTGCTCCCTGACCTCTCCCAGAGATTCCTGCCCTTATATGTATGTGTTTGGGGGTAGGGTGGGGTGGGACAACACTGTTAATTGGGCATTAGGGAGGGCAAATATCTTTATTTCTTGTGGCAGGAGAAGGCTTGACCCTAGCGTGATAGAGCTAGACACCACCAGCACTAACTCCTTGGTTGGTATGTGGAAACTGAGCCCCAGAATTGGGCCATACCACAGCGGTAGGGGCCCAAGTATTCTTGCTGCTTGACCAGTGCTCAGCTCTAGCGGTGGTGGGTGGCAGGGCTGCTGTTCTTTCCTCTTGACTTTGGCCTCCTCCTGGCCCCTGCCCTGTGCTCCTTCGTCCCAACTGCTCTTCAGGAGCTGGGGCTGGGACTGAGACTGGAGGCCCAGATACCTGCTGCGCCATGATCCCGGTAGAGTTCCCACTGGCTCTACTCTCTCCTACGGATTTCCCAATTTCTCACAGAGCCTAGGATTCCCCCCGACCCCGGTTTCCCCTGGCTGGCATATGGGGGTCGCTTCTGCATCTGTTGGTCTTGCTTTCCATTAAGCTCTGCGGCCTCCAAGAGCTCACGTTGCTGCACTCTGGGGTTCCCAGGACATGATTCCCTGGTGTCGGGGCCTGGGATTTGGTGAGCTGTGAGCCAGGGAGGCCCCAGTGAGCTCTTGGTCCAGCCAACTCTGCCTGGCTTGATAGAGAAAAGCCACTGGCCGCAGTTCCCACTGACTGCACCATTCTGCCCCTTGCGGCTCTTCCTCCTTCCTGGAAGTCAGGGGTCTGCTTCCATGGCATTTTATTTTACTTTTTTTTTTAAAGATGTATTTATTTATTTGAAAGGTGGAGTTACAGAGGCATTAAGAGAGGTCTTTGGGTTTCCCATGTGGGTACAGGGACCCAAGCACTTGGGCCATCTTCCACTGCTTTCCCAGGCCATAGCAGAAAGCTGGATCAGAAGTGGAGCAGCCAGGACTCAAACTGGTGCCCATATGGGATGCTGGCAGTGCAGGCGGCAGCTTTACCTGCTACACCACAGCACTGGCCCTGTTCTCCATAGCATTTTAAGGACGTCTGGCAGGGCAGGGACTGGGTAGGAGGATCATGACTGGCCCACCCTTGAGCACTGTTGTGCCTGTTCCCATGGCCCTCACAGGTCACTCACTGCTGTTGGGGAGGAAGACCACCCCTTTGCAGGCTCTGGGCCTTGGCGCTGTTCACTGCAACCTCAGGCCTGATGTCCCCTCTTCCTGGAGTCCTCCTGCAGTCCCACTGGCTGTGGACAACCATGTCCCCTCTGAAGTCCTCCAACACTTGCTTGCCTGTCTTGTGGCACTGGCCCCAGGGCACACAGGCTCCGAGGAAGGGTTTAGGCTTAGGAAACCAAGTAGGTGACCACTGGCTTGTGCTGTTGGGTGTAAACCGGCCCAGGAGCCCTGCGCTGGCCGGAAGTCAGACCTTGCCCTGGTCTCAGATGTTTACTCACTGCTCTGATTTGTCCGACCCTCCATCCCTTTACCTGTCAGATGTAGATAATCCAGGGGAGACAACTGGCCACAGCTCCACAAAGGGCCGTGCCCCTGCAGTGCTGGCAGGACCTTCGAGAGTGGCCGTGCAGCTGCTGGGTGACAGAAGGGGCTCAGGTCCCAGTGCTGCTTCTGTTCTGTGTGCCTGTCTTCACCCAAGAGCTCAAGCCACGCCGGGAAGTAGCCAAGGTGTTTTTGACCTGCAGGTTGTGTGAAGCTCATGGCCACTGTCACTCTCTCACTTCATTCACCCCTCTCTATTCTCACAGGGAACTCAGGCTGCGGAACTACGTCCCGGAGGATGAGGACCTGAAGAGGAGGAGGGTACCCCAGGCCAAGCCGGTTGCAGGTGGGTGGGCTGCCCCTCCACCTCGGTGCAGGTGTCGCCCTATCTTGGAGTAGCCTGCCGTGCCAGGACAGGGGCTGGGCCTCCAGGACCACCACCTCATCACAGGTGTACAGATAGTCCTGGGCGTGAGCACTGAAGAGGCCTGCTGCGCCTGCCTGGCCCTGCAGTGGCCCCAGAAGTGGCCCTAGTTGGGTCAGAGGGCTGGCCATTTGGGCACCCAGCAGAGGGCAGGTGGCACAGAAGCCAGAGGTGGGTCAGTCTTGCTTCTGGCCATGCACACTACATGTGCCTGGGAGCTCCTGCACCCTCACCCTGGAGAGTGTTTTTATTCTTCATTTCTGTTAGCAGCTTTTCCTTGTATAAAGAGTGGATGAATAAATGCATTATGGAAAGGGAAAGTGTTGCCCACGTGTCCACATCCCGGTCTGCTTCCCCTGGCACTGGCACTGATGTCCAGACACTTCCCAGTGGTTTGCTTCATGGTGTTGGCCCCAGCTGGTGGCGGGTAGGGGCTCGGTGGTGGTAGTGGTAGTGGGGTGAGTAGCCAGTAAGGCCAGAGGGAGCAGAGGGATGGGGAGCTGGCTGCTAGCCTCAGGGTTAGCAGCAGCCCTGAACTCAAGCTGCAGAGGCAGAACAAGGAAGGCGTTCACAGGGCCACCAAGGCAGCCCTCTCCTTGCCCAGTGGGAAGGCTGAGGCCAAGATTAGTGCCCATGCTTCCTGACTGCACGTGCTGCCCCTGCCTGGCCCCAGGGGATTGCCTTCTTCCTGGGAAACTGAGGGCTCTGCCTAGGGCCTGTCCACTCCCCTCCCCTGCTCCCAGCATGCCGAATCACAGTGCTGTGGCTGTTCCTTTCCCATGGCCTCCCTTGTTGTCTTGCGCCCTCTAGTGGAAGAGAAGGTGAAGGAGCAACTGGAGGCTGCCAAGCCAGAGCCCATCATAGAGGAAGTGGTGAGTGCCGGGCCACCCCCCGACCTGCTCTCCCCCTGCACCTCCTTCTCTTAGCTACTTGCCCATGCCCCTCACTGCCCCCTTGCCCTCTCTCCCATTTCCTTACCATTGTACCTTATCTCCCTACTTCCCTTGGGACGGGATCCCTCCAGCTCTGATGTGTCTCCTCCCTCCCCAGGACCTGGCCAACCTCGCCCCCCGGAAGCCTGATTGGTGAGTGTGGCCTTGCAGGCTTGCAGGGTGGTACAGACCGACTGGGGCTTGGTGCCAGCATGCGATGAGGAGACTGCTGCTGTGCTGAGGACGGGAGTGGCTGATGCGGGGAGCCTGTTGCGAGGTCTCTGGCAGCACGGGGAGCAGCAGTCCTCTCGAGACACCTCTCTGAAAGAGTGAGATCGTTCCCATTTGGAGCTTGAGCCACTGGGTGGAGGTGGGACAGAGAGAAGGCAGACACAAGTTTCTGCTCCTGTTCTGCCCCCCAGCCAGCTTGTTTCTCTGTGGCTTCAGTTACTTCATCAGTAAATAGGGATCCTTCCGCTTCTCCAAACCTCCCTCCCAGCCCTCGGGGTCCTCTCTCAGAAGAGTTCCTGTGAGGCTTGTGTCTCACTTTGCTGTGGGCCAGAGGTGGGGCTATATCCCTGCTGCCCGCACTTCCGAGCAGCCTGGGTCTCTGTTAGGGACAGCACAGCGTGAAGAAACAAAAGCATGAGGCCTATGTCCTTGGAAACCCAGAACCAGAGCATGCGTACTTCCAGAAGCCCCCAGGGCTGGAGGTGAACCTTTGGCTGGAGGAGGGGCAGGGCCCATGATGGGTCCCGCAAGTCACTCCCTGAGAGGATCCCTGAGGAACTGTCCACCCTTGTCCACCCAGACTTAGTCCCCCTTGAGGGGGGGATGCTACAGAACTGGTCCCCTTGCCTCAGTGGAACGGAGAAGGATGGCTGGTGCTGGATTTTAGGGGACACAGAAAGAGAGATTGGGGGCAGCATGGGCAACAGGCCATCTTTCAGCTTCCTGCCCCTGCCTGCTCCAGGGACCTCAAGAGGGACGTGGCCAAGAAACTGGAGAAGCTAGAAAAGCGCACCCAGAGGGCCATCGCCGAGCTGATCCGTAAGTGCAGGGCCTGCCAGGCTGACGGCCCTGACCCCTGAGTTTTGGCCCAAGCAGAGGGCCCCTCTTGACCTCCTCTGTCTGCCTTCTATCCCAGGGGAAAGGCTGAAAGGCCAGGAGGACAGCCTCGCCTCTGCAGTGAACGCAACCACCGAACAAGAGGCCTGCGACTCCGACTGAGGCGCACCCTGTGCCCTGTCTGCCATTGGGCCTGTCCTGTAGGTGGGTGGGCTGGGCAGGGGTGGGGCTGGGCTGGGTTGGCCCTCCCAAGTGTCCCTGTCACCCTGATGGGCAGAGCTCTGTGGCATGTCTGGGTCTGTACATATGTATGTATTTTGAACCTTTTTTGATTTCCAAGTTTTTTTTTTTTTTTTTATAACTCTGAAAATAGACAAGGAAACTGCTGTGTGTGACAGAAACCTGTTCACTGCTCCCAGGTCCTAGGGTGCTGTGAGTTTGGGCCCCAAGACACGATTCTGCCAAGTTAATGCTTAATGTGAGTGATCCCTGTGTTGGGCAGGATCAGGAAGACCCAGGACTGACCTTTTGGGTCCAAGTCCTGGACCAGGCTGTGGTCAGTAGTGGTCAGCTCAAGACCCTTGGGTGACAGAGACAGGGTCTGAGAGGATTCTCTTAAGACCTCCCATAGGCCTAGATTACTAGTAGTAGTCTGTGGGACCACTGCAAAGTCCCGGCCCTCAGCGGACCCCCTCACAGTGTGGGACAGAAGGCAGAGAGAACCTGGCAAGCCTCAGCACAGGACCACTGCAGACTGGAAGCCACTGGCACCACTTTCCCCTACTCTGTCCAGTCCCAGGCAGCTTTCTCCCCACTCCACAGAGCTGGACTGGGTACCCCTGGGACAGGGCCCTGCACAGGGAGGCCAGGATGCTGTAGGATGGGCTTCAGGTGTGGTCCTGGCTGCAGGGCTGCGAGACTCAGTGTGCTGACTCTAGGGTGGCTGGGTGACTCCATCAGCTCTGATCCAGGTGCCTCTGGCCAGCACACACTTGTGTTTCCTTCAGGGGCTGCCCCTGAACCTCCTGCCCCATGCGCTACCTCATCTAATACGTTTGTCCCTCTGTGTCGTGTTCCAGAAACAAGTGTCCAGTGCTGGTGGGCAGTGCATGGACGCAGGTCATGGACGTGGAGTGAGTGTACACATACATAGACCAGTACTCCCATGCAGTCGGTAGAATTCTTTAAACTAAAACTAGTCAGCTCCTCCCAGAAGGTAATTGCTGTAGCTGAGAGCAAGGGCTGCCAGATCCCTCTTGAGTAGGGAGGCAGGGCCAAGACTGACTCTGATAGGTGACAGTAGCCAAATGTACTCCTGGCGGCCAGGAGCAGAGCGGCCTTCTCTGACTGGCGAAGGATGGAGACTCGCCGTGCCTCTGGGACTCCTGTGCAAGCAGGATGCTTGTCTACGGCAGTGGAAGGGCTTGGGCACCTGGGGACTGGATCCCAATCTCCTGATGGCCCAGTCCCGGGGCTAGAGATTTCCTGTGGTGGGAGCCCCCTAAGAGTTTGTGAAGGGAGGGCTTCTGCATTTAGCATCCTGATGTCCCAAATGAAAAGCACCCCATCAGGAAAGAGGAAAATGACAACTGCTGCACACGGTGGTTACTCAATGAAGTGACACAACACAGAAGGAGGCCATTGTCTTTGTGACCAAGTGGGAGATTCGTACCCAAGGAAAGAGGATCTTACCCTAGTAACTCAGTAAAGAACTGCTCAGCAATCTTCAGACTAAAGAATACATTGTTAAAGAAGAAACTCAGGGGGAGGCATGCTTAGCCTGCCTGTCCCACATTGGGGTGCCTGGTTTAGTGCCTACCTCTAACTAATGCAGACCCTGGGAGGCAGCAGTGATGGCTCAAGAAATTTGGCTCCTGCCACCCACCTGGGAGACTTAGAGTGGCTTCCCAACTCTCACCTTTTTCCAGGCACAGCTCTGGCCACTGCAAGCAAGACAGAGATCTTCCATCCACTGGGTCACTCTCCAAATGGCCACAACAGTTGGGATTAGGGAAATGCATCAGTGGGTGGGCACTCAATCTGTCTCTCTGCCTCTCAAATAAAAAAAAATTAATAAACTCAAGAGCTAAATAGTAACTCAAAGAATAGACTAACAGATGGGAAGTTAAAGCTGAGGAGGTCATGTAGAAGGTGGTGATGAGCCCTGAAGAGGGCGAAGTGGAGAGAAGATTCAGACCATTGCCATACAGACAGGTGTGGCTTTATAAAAGAACACCAGAGAAAGAGGGTGCTTGCAGTGCTGCAGGTTAAGCTGCCACTTTTGACTGCAACTTCCTGTGTTAGAGTGCTGTTTCCATTGCTGGCTGCTCTACTTCCAATCCTGCTTCCTGCCAGTGTGCCTGGAAAGGCAGCAGATGATGACCCAAATGCTTGTGCTCCTGCCTCCCGCATTGATAAACCAGTATTGAGTTCCTGACACCCGACTCTAGCCTGGCCCAGCTCTGGCTGATGGGGGGCATTTGGGGTATAAACGGGGATGGACGATGTCCCCCTCTCATTCTGCTTTCCAATAAACAAATCCTTTAAAAAATAAAGTAAAAAGGAAAATAGGAGTATATTTCTAAAAGAACCAGCCTGATGGTCTGGAAATAAAAAATATTGTCATAGTAATTAAAAACCTTGTGTCTGTGAATTAGACAAAGATGAAGAGACAACAGGTGAATGGAAAACTAGATCTGAAGAAATTTCCCGGGGCCGACGCTGTGCTATAATGGGTAATGTGGCATGGGCATCCCATATGGTGCTAGTTTGATTCCAGGGTGGCCGACTACTGATCCAACTCCCTGCTAACATACCTGGGAAAGCAGCAGAGAATGGCATAAGTGTTTGGGCACCTGCACCTGAGTGGGAGACCCAGGAGAAGCTCCTGGCTTCAGTTTGGTCCAGCCCTGGCCGTTGTGGCCATTTTTGGGATGAACCAGCAGATAGCAGATCTCTCTGTCTCTCCCTAACTCTACCTTTCTAATAAAATAAATAAATCTTAATAAAACAAAAGAAATTTCCCAGAATGCAGCCCAGCAAGATAAATAGATTTGATAATATCAGACAAGAGGCCGAGAGATGAGGAGGAGAGAGAAAATCTTGTGCAACATGGAATTGGAGCTCCAGAAAGCAAAAGAAGCAAAAATGGGCAAAGGCAATCCTAAAAAGCAGTGGCTAAGAACTTTCCAGGACTGTTGAAAATCGGCACGCAGATCCAAGAAGACCAGCACCTTGCACAGGAAACATAATAATAAATAGAAGTCTGTGTCCATATGCTGTTTTAAGTGGGTACTTTCACCTTGTGCATATTCATTAAGTTTTACACACCTTGCACATTTTTTACATCTATTCGAGCTTAGTAAACACATTTGCTTACAATTTTTCCACATTCTGTTGCTGCATACACATTCCTCCAGAACTCAGCAGTTTAAAATCACAACTGTGATTTTGCAGTTTCTCTGTTTTAGGAATCAGGAGTGGCCTTGCTAGGTGGCCGTACTGGAGTCTCTGGGGAAGCTGCAGTCACCTGAAGGCTCCCAAGACAGGGCTCACTAGGTGTTCTCGTGACATGGCAGCTGGCTCTTCCCAGCGTGGCCATCATAGAAAGAAAGCAGGAGGGAACTGTGGGGCCTTTTATGGCGTGGTCTTGAGAGTGATATTCGGGTTGTTGGAAGCCAGTCTGTCTTCAGCCATGTTCACAGAGAGAAGAAATGGGTTCTACCTCCTGAAGGGAGCACTGGCTGAGAGCCTCAGGCCTATTCTAAAATGACGTAGACCTAGCCACATTCTAATAAAATCATAGAACACAAATACAAAGACTGAAAAAGACCTCAGAGAGGAAGCCACACTGCCTTGCAAGGACTAGACAGCAGTAGGTGCCTCAGCTATGACTAATGTTAACTACAGTGACAGAAAATTGTCACCTTAGAATCCACACCCACAGAAGTATCTTACAAGATGGTTTTAGACGAACAGAGCCAGGGACTTTGTCTCCAGGATTCGTTAAAAGGAAATCCATTTCGGATAACGAAAATGTTCCACAATTGATTGTGGTGGTGCTCGCACTGATCTGTGAATAGGCCAAAAACCATGGAATTGTACTCCCTGAGTGGGCAGATTGTATGGCAACCTCAATAAACTGTTTTTTCAAAACAAAATAAGCGTTCTCTATAAAGATATTTTTCCCCTAAGGGTGTCTTCAGACTGAGGGGCATAGTCCCAACCAGGAAATCTAAGACCTAAGGAATGAAAGGGGCTGGCACTGTGGCATAGCAGATAAAGCTGCCTGCTGTGCCGGCATCAATTCAGCTGCTGGTTCATGTCCTGGCTGCTCCTATCCGGCTCTCTGCTATGGCCTGGGAAAGCAGTAGAAGATGGCCCAAGTGCTTGGGCCCTGCACCTGCATGGGAGACCTAGAAGCTCCTGGCTCCTGGCTTTGGATCAGCTTAGCTCCAGCTGTTGCAGCCATTTGGGGAGTGAACCAGCAGATGGAAGACCGCTCTCTTTCTGCCTCTGCCCCAGCACTCCACGGAGTACACATGGACCCAGGGACAAGAATGCTCCCAGGAGCAGTGTTCAGGATGGCATGCTATGCATGCGCACACAGTCAAGACCAGGAGACGGTGCTGAGTAAATTGTGGTCCTTGCACTGGAGTCCTCCAGAGCCTTGAAGTGAGCTGTAGCCATGTGCAGCATGAGGGGTTCCTGGAAAACAAGCTGTGGAGGAAATAGAGCATGAGTGTGACTTTCCTGGCTGGCAGAGTCCGCCCAAGTAAGGACACCTGTAAGTGGGCGGTGGAGGTGGGGCACAAGAGCCAGGCGGGGATCGCCACTGCAGCCTTCGGTCAGCTCTGTAGAAGGACCCCTGGAGGTGTTGGTGGTGGTTTTTGATTTTTTTTTTTTTTTTGTCTTGGCTAGATGGGGGGATTCATTTTCTTTGTTCACGCTGATGCACGTTGGCATGTGAGCTGAATTTCTCAGGTTTTATTACATGTGTGGTTCACTGTGATGCGTGACATTAGAACCATTTAAGGATAAGGAGGAGATCACACATGCTACTTGTAAAAAGAAGAAAGGGCAGGTTACCTTCCAAGGATCGAGTTTCCCTTACCAACACAAGAGTCCAGCGGAGACAGATTTCCTAAGTGCTGAGGAGACGTAAATGTCATTCTGCTTAATTGTGACTAAGGGCAGGCCAGACACTAGCAGGCCTGTGACGCACAGTGATTGCCAGACTGCTCTTTAGTGAAAGGACTGCTAAGGATGTTCCAGCAAGAAGGAGGGGAGGCTGGCAAGGGGGTTGGGAGTCAAGACTACAAGGAAGGGCTCTTGTGTTAAGTCCAGGCTCCTCGAGGCCCCCAGGAATGTCAGTCCCTTCTGTCTCCCCGGGTGGCATTGGCCCTGCCCCAGATTGCAGCTGCAGGCAGAAGGGCAGAGGTCAGCCTCCGTTACTCTGTCACAGGGCTGCTGCAGAGGTGATATTCTTGAAATGACAGAGTTTTAGGCTGGTGCTGCAGCTCACTTGGCTAATCCTCCGCCTACGGTGCCAGCACACCGGGTTCTAGTCCCAGCTGGGGCGCCGGATTCTGTCCCGGTTGCCCCTCTTCCAGGCCAGCTCTCTGCTGTGGCCCGGGAAGGCAGTGGAGGATGGCCCAAGTGCTTGGGCCCTGCACCCCATGGGAGACCAGGAGGAAGCACCTGGCTCCTAGCTTCGGATCAGCGTAGCGTGCCAGCCTTAGCAGCCATTTGGGGGATGAACCAACGGAAAAAGGAAGACCTTTCTCTCACTGTCTAACTCTGCCTATCAAAACAAACAAAAAAGAAGTGACAGAGTTTTAGATACGGAGAACAGGTGAGTGGTTGCCTGGGGTTATGGATGGTGGGGACAGGTGTGACTATAAAGCGGGTAGCTCCAAGGAGATATTGGAGAAGCTGTGAGGGGAAAGTTTTGTGTCTAGATGGTGGAAGTGCTTACATAAATCTACCTATGTGTGCTAAAGTGGAATAGAGCTGCACTGGTGGCAAACTCCTGATTTTGATCTTGTACTGTTGCTGTAGAAGATATAACTGTGGGGGAAGGTGAATGAGTGTTTCATAGGACCTCTCTAACACATTTATTTGAGAAGAGAGAGGGAGCAAGAAAGCTCCGATCTGCTGGTTGACTTCCCAAATGCCTGCAATGGACACAGCTGGACTGGGGCCAAACCCAGGGACCAGGAACTGAATCCAGTATCAGGGATCCGACTATTTGCACCATCACCACTGCCTCCCAGGGTCTACTTAGCAGGAACCTGGAATCAGGAGCCAGAATTGGGGACTGAACCCAGGGCATAAAGGCATCCTAATTGCTATGCTAAATGCCTACTCCCTGTACCAACCTTTTAACTTCCTATCAATCCGTATTTCAAAATAAAAAGGTTTGGCGCAGGCATTTTGTGCAGTGGTTAAAGATACCTCTTGATCCTGCATCCCCTGTCGGAGTGTCTGTGTCTGTATCCTGCCTCTGCTCCTGACTCCAGCTTCCTGCTGACGTGCACTCAGGGAGATGGCAGGCAGTGGCTCACGTAATTAAGTCCCTGCCACCCACACGGGAGACCTGGATTGAATTCCTGACTCCTGGCTTTGGCCTGGTTCAGGCCTTACTGTTGGGGGCATTTGAGCAATAAACCATCAGATGAAGGATCTCTTTCTGCTTTTCAAATGAAATGAAAATAAAATTTAAAAATTTTTAAATAGGTTTTAAAAATTAAGTGGTGAGCAAAGAAATTACAAAGCCATGTTGATAAAATAAAATGCTAGGTTTTAAAAAAATATTTATTTTGGGCCGGCGCCGCGGCTCACTAGGCTAATCCTCTGCCTAGCGGCGCCGGCACACCAGGTTCTAGTCCCGGTTGGGGCGCCGGATTCTGTCCCGGTTGCCCCTCTTCCAGGCCAGCCCTCTGCTGTGGCCAGGGAGTGCAGTGGAGGATGGCCCAGGTGCTTGGGCCCTGCACCCCATGGGAGACCAGGAAAAGCACCTGGCTCCTGGCTCCTGCCATCGGATCAGCGCGGTGCGCCGGCCGCAGCGGCCATTGGAGGGTGAACCAACGGCAAAGGAAGACCTTTCTCTCTGTCTCGCTCTCTCACTGTCCGCTCTGCCTGTCAAAAAAAAAAAAAAAAAAGTTTATTTTGAAGGAATTCCAGAGGGAGAGACAGATCTTCGGTCCATCCACTGGTTCACTCCCAGGATGGCTGCAATGGCCAGCGCTGGGCCAGGCCAAAGCCAGGAGCCAGAAGCTTCATCTGGTCTCCCAGGTAGGTAGCAGGGGCCCAGACACTTAGGTGTCTTCTGCTTTACCCAGGCCGTTAGCAAAGAGAGAGATTGGAAGTGGAGCAGCCAGGACTTGAACAAGCACCTATATGGGATGCCAGCATTGCAGGCAGTGTCTTTACCTGCTATGCCACAACACAGGCCCCAAAATACATAGTTTTAATAATATGTTTTCTCCCTTTAGAAATAAGAACAAGCATTCTGGAATCTGGACCATAGTCTTGTGGATGATCAGGTAGAAGTTTGTTTTAGGAGTCCTGGTCTTGGTTGGAGGAATAGATGGAGGGGGACCTCAGGCCCAGAAACCCCTATGTCACAGGGCGTGAGGAGATGGGCCAGTGAGGGGCAGTGCCGAGCTCTGTGGGGGAAGCCCCAGAGGCTGGCCACTTGCCACCTGGCTCACCAGGGACTTTTCCAGTGCAGCCGTGACAACCCTCATGGTGCTCCAAATCCCTCCCGCTTAGGACTTGCCAGGACACCTGGCCTGGTGCATCTTGGGGGAGTTTCAGGCCTGGATGTTCTGCAGCAGCATGGGCACCTCTTTCCTGGCAGAAGACAGATGGGACCTATGGGCCAGAGTTGAGGCTCAGAGCCTCTGGATCTGAGGAGGCACAGCAGCAGAGTGGGACGGAAGTTGCACCTGGGATTGCAGGGCTGGGCGTCCAGGGGCCAGGTGGCATCTGGCCAGTGTTGGGTCTTGGGGTCAAAGAGGCCCAGCCCCTGAAGTAACACAGGAACACTGCCTGTGCCCACCTTCAGGCAGCTTCTCCATGGGCTCTGAGCTCTGTCAGAGCCACCAGAGCTGGGGAAGTCAGTCATTAGTTCCCTGATCTCTGTCTTCTGCCAGGCACTGTTCTAGGTGCTGACTGTGCAGCTGTGAATCCAACCATGGCCCTGCCGTCGAGGAGCTAACTCTCCAGGAGGTCTCTGGACCTGCTGGGAGCCAGACCTGTCTGAAAGACCTCCCTTTCCCCAGGCCCATCTGGCTGAGCATCACCTGGGGTTGCAAGAGTCAGTCACCCAAGAGACCTGGTAAGGACAGGCAGTCTGCATGCCTCTGTGGCCTTTATTCCACCACCCCCTCTGCTGTCCTCACATGGCCGCTGGGGGGCAGCAGCAGACACCATCCAGGGTTAGCGCAGCCTGCTTTTTCCACTGTCCCCGGTAGTGCTCTGTGAAACATCTCCCCAGTGGATGAAGTGCTCCTGTCTCTTGTACATGGTCTATGCCATTTGTCACATGGCTGATCATAAGAGACCATCCAGAGTGCAGGTCTGTCAGCCTGGGACCCAGAACAGGGAACCATGTCCTGGGAGAACACTCGGGTGGAATGGGAGGTCCAGGTGGGGGGTCGTGAGTGCCCTCACAACCTGGAGACAGTGCAGCCTTCCATGAACTGCATGTGTGGGAGGACTGTGCCCCAGTATAGCTGGATGTGAGGATCCACTGCACCTAGCCAGGAAGGGCCCCTGGAGGATCCAGTCCCCCTGGGCCCTGAACCTGCTCGGAGCTAAGCTCTCAAGGTGTCCCGTGTTCTCCCTGGGCCTAGCTGGGCAGAACTGGGCGATGCACGAGTGAGTAGCCTGTGTGCTGGGTCCCAGGACTCCTTCCTTCCTGGACTCAGGCCCCGCCTCGGGCTCTGTAGCCGTGGGCTGGCAGCGATGTCTTGGCTCAGCTTCCCAGCCGGCCTGCCCCTCCTCTATGTATTTACTGGTTTTCTTTAAATGTTCCCATTACTCAGGCCTCCGGTGGGCACCAAGACAGAAATAAATCCCACAAGGCAGTCCAGCCAGAAGCCGGGAATCCGATTCCCCCTCAAAGGCCGGAAGAGGCCCCTGTACAGAGCATGCCAGACCACAGTGGCCCACACACTCCACATGGCCACGGCTGGGGCCACGCCCCCACACATCGCACGTGCACTGGCATACCTTTACATGCAGCCCCCCCGTGCAAGACTTGTCAGACACAAGTGCACATGCAGACACCCATGCGCTCTCAAATGCCTCATACACAGCTAGTGCACCCGCACACCCATGCAGATGCCTCCCACGCACACACACGCACTCACACCTATACCTGACAGCCAGGCTCTCACCCAGTTGTGACCACACAGGGGTCACAGACTTGGCCATCCTCAAGGTGCTGGTGGGCAAGACAAATGGGCGAGGCTGTGCAGGCTGGAAGGATGAGGCTGGCCCTGTGCAGTTCGGGAGGAGAGTGGCCTCATGGGAACACAGGCCCAGGACTGCCAGGGCTTCTGAATTTTTTAGAGAGGCTGGAAAGCTGAATTTTTATGTGAAATATCCTGATTTTTAAATGTTGGCTCAAGATGTTGAAAATATTGTGAGAGCCAAACCAAACATGTCTGGGAGCCAAATTCCACTCACAGGCGGCGTTGCAGACACACACACACACACAGTCACGCACGTACACAGACATACAAAAACAGACACGCTGGTGCACATACATAAGCCTCATGCATAGAGACATCTACACAAAATCATGCACAAATGAAGATGTAGACACGTAGACACACTTGTGTAAATAACACCTGGCACAGGTACAGATATGCAGACACAGGTAGGCATACAATAGAACCACAGACACAGGCACATGGACAAACACCCACATGTATACCTACCAATAAATAAGTACACACAGAACCCCCATCCCTGCAGAAACACACAGTGCAGCCCTCCATGAGCTTGTTGAGAGCAGGCCATCTGACGGTAGCCCCTGGGCACAGGCAGGGGGTGTTCCTGGCCAAGGCTGGCCCCTGACTCTTCCAGTGCTGAAGGAGGAGGACGCAGGACGAGTTGTCCAGGCTGGCAAGGGGCCGGAAGTACAACCCTGGGAGGGGCCCTGAGGGGGCGACTGACCTGAGCCACAGGAACTAAGGAGTTGGAGTGGCCAAGATCCCACCCTCCCAATGCCCCAGGAGCCCATCCTCCAGCCTGGCCGTGAGTGTTCTTCCCTGCCCCTGGGAGGCAAAGCCGGCAGAAGCCCCGAGCTGCTTGCCATGGCCCCCTCACCCCTGGGCTTCTGTATACTTCACCTCATGATGAGGGTCAGCCCCTCTGAGAGCAAGGTGGAGAGTGGTGGGCTCCAGCTGCACATGGAATGCGGGAACACAGAGCAGCTGCCACCCTCCCCTCGCCCATAGTTAAAGGCTAAGGTAGGAAGCACTGTGCAGGCCTAGAATCTGGGTCTCCTACCTCCAAGGTTCTGCCCCTTCCCTGTGCAGTCATGTTTGGGGGACTGAACCCCCAGCCCCTGGACAGGCAGGATCTGCAAAGAATCCACACTCACCGTTCCTTGGCCTCTTTGCCTGCATGACCATGACCCCCAAAGAAGGAAAGAGCCTGTCACCTGGAGCGACTCACCCTCGGGTCCCAAGGGATGGAGCTGATGCCTTGTCTGTGTGTACAACACAGAAAGCCCCATACCTGCAGCCTGCATGGGGCCCCCAAGCCAGCCCTCCGTTCCGACAGCTGGCACAGCCCTGGGACCTCCAGAGCACTCAGCACCTCTCCCTCTGCCCATTCCCCAGGCTGAGGGTGGGTGCTCCTGGGCTGCCCTCTCCAGGCTCATGGCGCCCACTTAGTCCTTGCTCTCTGGGGCTGGCAGGTGAGGTGGGGTGCAGCATCTCTTGATGGCCCTGGGTCCCCTGACCTAGCTGTGCTGGGAGCCATGTGCTCATAGCCTCTGGAGGCCTATGTCTAGGGCCGGGGAGGGCCCGGGGGCACACTCCCTGCAAGAGTCCCAGGTCTTCCTCCCAGCTGGGCTGGGGGCGAGAGGCCAGAGAGGGCAGGACCAGTCCTCATGCCCCAGTCAGGTGGGAGTCTGCCCTGGCCAGACTGGGAGTCCAGGGCAGCCCATGAGGTGTCCAGATGCCATAGCCAGTAAGGGTGAGGGCTTGGGGTCTCTCGGTGCCCTCCTCCCTGCCCACCCTGCTGCCCAGCTCGGCTGCTGTTTACGTGTTCCCTGTGGCTTGGCTGGGCTACGGGGCCTTGAAGGGAAAAGTGACCACCTGGCTCCAGCCACTGCTCAAGGCAAACAGGACCCTGACTGCCTGCCAGGCCTGCTGAGGGCTCCTACTTCCTCTGCCAACACCTGGATGGCCCAGGCAGGGCTCAAGGGCCTCTCCAAGTGGAGGCCAGTCCTTGCCCAGGGGCTCCCAGTCTAAGGGAGATCGGTCCTAGCCTAGGGGACTTTGACTGAAGTAGGAAGCCCAGGACGACCAGTCTGCAGGGAGAGGTCTAGCTGTGGCCTGCATGCAGACACCCTGAGATGAACAGCCCCATCTCTTTAGGTGGTGACATGGGGGCTGGCCCAGCCTGGGGACACCAGATCAGGGACAGAGGTATGGGGTGGGGGGACACTGAGTCCAGAGGCGAACAGCTCTCTTAGAGATGGGTTCATCCAGAGGGGAGGCAGTGACTAGTCTGAGGGGAGAGACAAAGCCTTGTCCTAAGGGGCACCCATTCTGAGTGAGGGGACTTGGCCTTGTCCTGGTAGGGATCCCAGGTCTGAGAGAAGAGGCCAACCTTGTCCCAGAGGGAACTCAGGTTGAGAGGAGGGACTGGACCCAACCCTGGGGGTCCCCAGTCTGAGGGAGAACACAGCCCCATCCTGGGGGTTGCCAGTCCGAATGCTTCTGGGTGATTGGCCTCCTGGGCTGCTTCCTTCAGAAGCCTCCTGACAGAGGAGTCTGCACTGGAGTCCCTGCCTGCGGTGTGGGAAAGGTGAGTTGCCCTAAAGGCCCAGTGGTCTAGAAGGCCCGTGGCGCTGAGCTGAGC